ATTTACAATAGTACTGGAAGCAACCTAAGTGCCCATCAGTAAATGAGTGGATCAAAAAATTATGCTACATTTACACAATGCAATACTACACAGCAGAGAGAAAGAAGGAGCTCCTACCCTTTGTGACAGCATGGATGGAACTGGAGAGCATTATACTAAGTGAAATAAGCCAGGTGGTGAGGGACAAATACCATATGATCTCACCTTTAACTGGAAAATATAGCTCTATTTTGTGGATAACGGTAAAAAATTATATTGCAATAACTGTGATTTATTGGGAGATCACTTTGTAAATTGTATAAATGTCAAACCACTATGCTCTAAACCTGAAACCAATATAAAATAATATTTAATGCCAAATATAATTGGAAATTGAAAAAAAAGAAAAAGGACTTCTGGCCAAGATGCAGACATAGGTAGATACACTTTGCCTCCTCACACAACCAAAAGAAGGACAATGAATTTAAAAACAGAAAAGCAACCAGAACTGCCAGAAAATTGAACTGTATGGAAGTCCAACAACCAAGGAGTTAAAGAAGAAACATTCATTCAGACTGATGTGCTGAGACAAAAAAATATGGCCCAAATGAAAGAACAGATCAAAGTTCCAAAATAGAACTAAGTGATGAGGAGATGGCCAACCTATCAGATGCATAATTCAAAATGCTGGTAATCAGGATGCTCACAGAAATGGTTGAGTGTGGTTGCAAAGTAGGGGAAGAAGTGAAGGCTATGCAAAGTGAAATAAAGGAAAATGTGCAGGGAACCGACAGTGATGGGAAGGAAACTGGGACTCAAATCTATGATTTGGAGCAGAAGGAAGAAATAAACACTCAACCAGAACAGAATGAAGAAAAAAGAATTCAAAAAAAATGAGGAAAGGCTGAGGAACCTGCAGGATAACATTAAACGTTCCAACATCCGAATCATAAGGGTGCCAGAAGGAGAAGAGGAAGAGCAAGAAACTGAAAACTTATTTGAACAAATAATGAAGGAGAACTCTTCCAATCTGGGAAAGGAAATAAACATACAAGTCCAGGAAGTCCAGGAAGCCCAGAGAGTCCTAAAGAAGTTGGTTCCAAAGAAGAACACACCAAGACACATCATAATTAAATTACCCAAGATTAAAGATAAGGAGAGAATCTTAAAAGCAGTAAGAGAAAAGGAGACAGTTACCTACAAAGGAGTTCCCATAAGACTATCAGCTGATTTCTCAAAAGAAACCTTACAGGCAAGAAGGGGCTGGAAAGAAGCATTCAAAGTCATGAAAGGCACGGACCTACATCCAAGATTACTCTATCCAGCAAAGCTATCATTTAGAATGGAAGGACAGATAAAGTATTTCCCAGACAAGGTAAAGCTAAAGGGGTTCATCATCACCAAGCCCTTATTCTATAAAATGTGAAAGGGACTTACCTAAGAAAAATAAGATGATTAAAAATATAAATAGTAAAATGACAAGCTCACAACTGTCAACAACTGAACCTAAAAACAAAAACAAAAACAAACTTAAGCAAACAACTAGAACAGAGACAGAATCACAGAAATGGAGATCACATGGAGGGTTATCAGTAGGAAGTGGGTGGGAAGAGAATGGGGGAAAAGGTACAGAGAATAAGAAGCATAAATGGTAGGTACAAAATGGACAGGGGAGGTTAAGAATAGTATAGGAAATGGCCCTGGCTGTAGTTCAATTTCCAGTAAGAGCACACGCCTGGGTTGCAGACCAGGTCCCCAGTGGTGGCCATGTGAGAGGCAACCACACATTGATGTTTCTCTCTCTCTGTCTCCCTCCCTTCCCCTTTCTCTAAAAATAAATAAATAAAATCGTTTTTTTAAAAAAAGAATAGTATAGGAAATGCAGAAGCCAAAGAACTTATATGTACAACCCATGGACATGAACTAAGGTGGAGGTATACTTATGGGAGGGGGCATGAGGGAGGAGGTGAATAAAGGGGAGAAAATAATGGGACAACTGTAATAGCATAATCAATAAAATATATTTAAAAATAAATAATTAAAAATTCAAAAAAGAAAAGGACAGGAAGTCACAGGCACCTTTGTACCTGGGATCCTAATTCCCTATCTCAATTAATACTATCATCATCCTTTCCTTAACTCAAGGAAAAAATGTCAGCATCAGCTTTGCTTCTTGTTTTTCCTTCATGATGCAAACCTGTTCTGTCAACTCTACCATAACTGAGATTCACAGAGCCGTCCCTTTGTCTTTATCCCCACAGTGAGTGCCTTCTTTTAGACCATCAACATTTTTTACCTGGTTCATTTCTTAGTTTCCTTACCTCTTTTCTTTCCAAGACAACATCTTTCTATACTGCTGCCAGTTTTTGGTCTAAAATGGAGATCTGATGTTAGTCTCCTACTCAGAAATCTCCAGTGGTTTTTTTGAATATTCAAAATAAAGCCTATACTTCTCAGCATAGCATTTAATAACTCTTTGAAGTTGGTATTAACTCCATTTTGCAGATAAAAAAAAGCTCAGGGAGAGGAAACAACTTGCTTAGGGTCACATAGGTATGTAATAGTAGAACCAAGATTAGAATCCAGGTGGCCTCATGCCGGTGCTCTAGCCATTATAAAAGTACTTCTAAAGAGGGGAGAAAGGGTAGGTACTATGTGTGTTGTTAAAATGATGGGATGATGGTTACACAATCCTGTGTCCTGAATGGGGCACATATTTTGAAGTTCACACAAATAAGCAAAGATCTCTTAATGTCTTTGTAGACTTGAACAGTTGACTTAACCTTAGAACCTCTGTTTACTCACTTAGAAAAGAGGGGCAAATTATTTCAACCCTGAAGGGTTGTTATGAATACTATATGAAATGTAAAGGAGTAGCATAGTTGTAGCTTCACAGGAGCATCTCAAAGAGTGTCTTTGCCCACCCTCACCTCCCTCTCCAGTGGCCTAAAAAGTCCATTTAGACAATGAGGAAAATAGAATTTAGACAGTAGGGGTGTGGGATGGACTGTAAGACTCCAGGGTCTATTCCTAGTTTGGGGCTGCAGAAAACCTTTTTCAGGCTCTTAATCAGGTTCAGGGTAGGGTTCTCTTGTGAAAAGTTAGTAATGTGTGTGGTAAAATTCCTGACTAAAAGCAAATCTTAAGCCCCAGTGCCCATAATATCCATGATTTGTCACTTCTCATGGTTGAAGCACTGTGGATTTTTATTAAAATACAAACGTTTTCTGGGAGAGGCAGCATAGACCAGGTGGGGCAAAAGTAGATTTAGTTTGTATTGACAATAACAATAATTAATAATAATACAAGAATAAGTGTTTTAAGCCCTGGCTGGCGTAGCTCAGTGGATTGAGCGCGGGCTGGGAACCAAAGTGTCCCAGGTTCGATTCCCAGCCAGGGTACATTCCTGGGTTGCAGGCCATAACCCCCAGCAACCACACATTGATGTTCCTCTCTCTCTCTCTCCCTCCCTCCTTTCTCTCTCTAAAAATAAATAAATAAAATCTTTAAAAAAAAAGAATAAGTGTTTTGATACCCACAACTGCAAAGTTACTTTTGCCCCACCCTGTATATTAACTTTTTGGCCTGATTAGCTTTCACTTACCTCTTATTATGAGCAGAGTCTTTGTATGCCTCTGTGCTTTCTTCCTCTTAGGCAGGGACACCCCACCACACCCACCCCACCGCACCCCCAGCCTATTAAAATCCTTCTCAACCTTTAAGGTCCATCTAAGTCACTACCTCCTCAAGAAGCCTACTGTGATAGGTAAACCAGATGCTGCTTTTCCTTGCCTGTCACTGTCTTTGGGAGCACTAAGTCCTAGAGCTGCTGTGGAGTGTGAGGCTTGGCTGTACGGAGACCTATCTCAAATTCCTGCTTGTACTTGACTTGCCCCTTAGCATTAGGCTAATAAATGCCTTGACCTCGTTGAGCTTCAGATTTACTGCTTGGAAACATTTGATGATAATAATACTTACCTCAGGGCAAAATAGGGGAGGTACTCTCTCTATTCGCTGGAGCAATGCTTGCTCTGCTGACTAGCATAGCCCCTGTAATTTGTGAATTTGGCCGATTTCTTTCGTGAGACCAAAAGCCTCCCCTATCCTTCCGCCCAGTTTAGCCCGCCCTCAGGTGCTTTATGACTCCATGTTCTTGGGCAGCTGGCGCAGCCCCGATCTGCAGACCATGCAGTCTTTTCACAGAGCAAAAAGGTTAATGAGATGCAGGGTAGAAAAGGCTTGACGCTCACCCGCCTGCTGGTGAGGAGCGGAGTAGCTTGGTAACCACGCCGCGACCTCATGATTAGTTGTATTAGACGCGCGGGCCCATTGGGGAGGCAGAACTTCCCGGGATCGAGGGGACCGCCCCAAGGGCTGAGGCTGAGCACAGCCGAACAGTCCTATTGGGCTGCCCGGGAGGGCGTATTACCCCCCGCTCCCCGCCTCTCCCTCGCTCCACCCCCATCCCCCAGGGCCGGAGCGCTCTCTGAGGGAGCAAACTCTCCCTTACCCTAGCGGGGCTGGGCCCTTAGTCTAGGACATTCAGCGGGACTCACAACTCTTATACCAAATGTGGAGGGAAGGGGCCTTTGTGTGCTGGGAAGACATCCCTCCGCTAGCAGCTCCGAATCTCGAGCGCCCAAACTGCGGGGACAGAGGCCTGAGGGACCTGCTTGGCTGGGATGGCGGGGGGCCGGGCAGCTTTTGCCTAACCTGGAGGCTTAACCTCAGGCCGATTTCTAATTCCCCCAAGCTCGACAGTCAGCTGGGAGGAGCCTGAGCTAAGTCGGGCTCTTTTCCCTTCTCAGGCCCGGCCCCCTCCTGTGCCACTGCACCTCTTTCCCTCCCTGGTCCGGCCCCTGGCCCAGACCCAGCCCTCTAAGGCTACGTTGGGCTGCAGGTTGGCGCAAACAAAGCCCTGATTGACTGCCGGGAGGGGAGGGCCTCAAAGCTAGGCCGCCTCCTCCCCTTCGCGCCCCGCGTGGGATTTGCCGGGAAGGGCGGGGGCAGAGGGGAGAGGCTAGAGGAGTAGTATGCAGGGTTGTGGGGGTGTACGCAGGTTTAGAGGCCCCGGGCTCGAGAAGATTGTACCCTGCTCTGTTCTAAGCCTAAATTGTCCCCTTCAGGTCGCCCCCCTCAAGCCCAAGGGGTGTATAGAAACTCCCTAGCGCTGGGTGGGATCTCTCACTTGCCAGCTCTCGTCCTGAGGTCCCCGGGGGCACCCCAGTTCCATACTCCTTGTTTGAAAGGAGAACAGCGGGAGCTAAGGACAGGCGCGGTCTTCGTTGGGGATGGAGTTTATTGATATCCGTTTGGAGCTTGCGAGGAGGAGAGGGCAGGAGAACAAGATACTTTGTGCCCTCGTATTTCCATTTTAACTCTCCTTTTACTGGGTGTCTAGACGAGGAGGACAGGATTTAAGAGTTTGGAAAGGGAGTTGAGGTACGCAGCGGCGGCTACAGTATGTACACAAGTAGGAGGAGGAGGAAGGGCTGGGAAGAAGAGAGGCTGTAGCGGCTGCCGGTTGAGGGAGGAAGAGGTGGGGGTGGGGGAGGAGGAGAGGGAGGAGAGAGATGACATGGGAGAGGAGGAGGGGGCTTGAAAAGGGGAGGAGGAGAGGGCTCAAGGGGCCGTCTGTCGCGGGACAGGCTGGCCAGCTGGGGCGAGGAGCCGGGAGGAGGAGGCTGTGGCGGCAGCAGCAGAAACAAGCACCAGCCACACAGCGGCTTCTCCGGCCCGAGCAGCTACAGTCCCCTGGCCGCGATGGCGCTGCAAAGCGCTGCAAGCGAGGAAGCCAAGGGGCCCCAGCGGGAGGCACACCAGAAACAGCAGGGGCGGGTGGGTAGCCCTGAGCCGGAGCCGGAGCCCTTGCCACTGCCCCCACCGGAGCCCCAGCCGGAGCCCCAGCCAGAGCCCCAGCCCCTACCAGACCCTGCCACCCTGCCGGAGCTGGAGTTTGAGCCTGAGCTGGTGCATGAATCCGAGCCCACGCCCACCGTGGAGACCCGTGGTACAGCGCGGGGCTTCCAGCCCCCTGAAGGTGGTTTTGGCTGGATGGTGGTCTTCGCTGCCACCTGGTGCAACGGCTCTATCTTTGGCATCCAGAACTCCTTTGGGATCCTCTACTCCATGCTGCTGCAGGAGGAAAGAGAGAAGAATCGCCAAGTGGAGTTCCAAGCAGGTGAGCTCCCCCGAGCGCCCCACCTGGCATTCTCAAGGCAAGGGTTTCTGTTCCCACTGCTACAGACCCCATACCTCCTGCTCCAAGGAACCCTTCCAGCGCGCCGTTTCGATTCCTCCCCTTGCCCATTACCCATAAAGCTGGTAAGGCGCGTGTTGGGGGGCTCCGGGCAGCCTTGCTGGGGAGAGTTAAGAGCAAGACATCCTGGGTGAGACCGGGGACATTTATTGATCACAGGACAGGGAATGAACTTTATTGCCCTGGGACAAACCCAGACACATCTTTTGAGTTTTAAGTACCCTGACCGTGTTTACTGGGGAGAATATTTGCAAAATGTTTTTTTGGGGGGGGGGTGGGGGCGAAGTCATGGAGAGAGAAGAGAGCTAGGAGGCTGGGAGGACTTTAAAAGAAACACCGTACCGCGGATCTCTGCAAGCAGCCCCTGTTCTTGTTCGGGGGGCGGACACTTTAGGAATCCTAGTGACTCTGAGCGAACAGTCAAACACAAGGCAGGGGTGTGTGTCTGCAGCACAGAGAGGAAGGGAGGGAGTGCGAGTGGGGGTGTACACACGTCTCTGCCCACGTTGGTTACGGCCCAGCCGGGCCCGGCTGTCCTCTGCCACTCTGAGGGAGCAAGCGGATCTCTGTCCCTTGTGTGCTGAACCCCAAAGCAGGCAGGAGGCAGTCTCCGAGTTCTCGTGCCCAGAGAGGCGTGAAGCGGCTGGCAGGCTGGGCCCTGTGGCTCACTCCGCGCCGCCCTCAACTTCAGCCATGCCCTCTCTGGTGCCCCGCGCCTCTCCGCTATCCTCGGGGTGCCTCTTTCACCCTTAGTCGTAATGCCCGCCTCCTCCTCTGCCGCTTTCGCGGGAGGCCAACTCGGTCTTAACCCCTAAGACAAGCAGGGCTGAGAGGCATAGTCCTCACTCTCCAGGCCGGTGGCCCCAGGACCTCAGGCTTGTGTGCACCTCGCATTTAGCCCGCATGTGAGCACAGAGAGTTCAAAGGAGCCCGTTTTCTCAGCAAGCCACCGACAAAGCCCCTCAGCAGTTCTGTTGAGGAGTCTGAGAAGGCAGCTGAGAGGCTGGGCAAGCCCTCTCCCTCAAGGCTCGCTCCCTCTTGTGGCTCCTCCGGACAGCTACATTTGTGACCTGCTGCAAGTTTGCAGCTCAGAATATGTGGCTTCTCACAGTATTGCCCTGGGCTGAAGGGTTCCCTTACACCCCCAACACATCTGCTGCTCTCTGAGGGGGCCTGAGAGTTATTTTGTGAAGATAGAAACCCTGAATTACGGGGCGTCCACCTGTGGGTCCCCTGGGCCTTTGGAGAGCTTCTACTGCTCTCAACCAAGGACTCATTGTTTTAGTTTCTAGCTTCACTGAACTGCTCTTGAAGTGGTTTGGGGGCTCTTGGTGCATCTGATATTGTGAGCTATTGGTGCCAGTGTGGGAGCCCCACTTGAAAGTTTGAGTGTGTGTCAGCGGCTGTCCAGAGCAGTCTCAGGATTGCCCAGAATGCATTGATGCTTGAGTGGAGTGGGTCGCTGGACTGCGTAGAACAACTTCTGCCGGGAAGTTACTGCCATGCTCAATCCTAGGATTATCTTTTCCTGCTTTGATGCCCTTGAGGGGCTCTTGGGGAGGCAGCTAGGGTAGGGCCTCTGGGTGTTGCCTAGGTTACCTGGGAGGGCACCTGCTGAGTATTGCTCTGTGGTTGAAGGCAGGCAGTTGGCTTTTGGGGTCAGTGGAAAATTCTGGGTGAAACTACTCTGGGAGGTAGTGGGGGATGGGTTGGAGCTAGGCCCCACACTCATGTCGTGTGAGCAGGCCTAGAGCTGAGGCCTTAGGAGTGTGTAATAAAACTTTGAATAACCACTATTTTACCAGGAAGAGGTTCACCGTTAGGGAACACACTTCAAAGTAGGTGATCCTGGGTACTCACAGGGAGGGCTGGTTGGGACTTTCCTGTCAAGACCTAACAGTGCAGCTGGGAAGGGGGGTGTGGTGGGTTGTGCAGAGGTGCCGGCTGATGTGTACTCTGACGCAGACTAGGTGCATTGAGAGGCTGGAGTTACTGGTTTAAATTCTGGTTAGTATAGGTCAGGAAGGGTCAGAAAGGAATTTGGTATGTCCCAAGGGTCTCAGAATACTTTAGCTTGGGTCCTTGCTGGAGTGCGTCTTGAATTCATGAAAGTTCTTTTTTTTGTTTTTTTTTTTGTGTGTGTGTGAGGGTTTTTTGTTTTTTTTTGTTTTTTTGATACTGAAGGCTCTAGGGAACACCTCAGTTTTTAATTTGAAAAAGTCAGAAACATTCCCACCACATTCCCAAGCTCCTACAAAATCTCATCCTCAGGACTACCTTTCTTGAGCCCCTCAGCCTTTTCAAGCAACCATTTAGGTCCTGAGATTCCAAATGTGTCTGCTTCCATATACTTCCTGCAGTTTACCCAAAATTTCCCAGCCACCTGTGCCACAGGGCTGTTTTCTCAAAGGGATAGAAGAAGCCAGCAGAAGCTTGCCAAAATCTTTATCAGCCACTATTTTCCCAATAGCCATTCTGGGGAACACAGAACATACACCTTCACAGTCAAGGAGATTGGAGCATTGTCTATTTATATTAATGTGTGACATGCCTTCCATCTATAAAAATTTATGAATATAATGTTTGGAGGCACCCCACAACCAAATTTCTCTTTGGCTAGGCCTAATATCTTCATAGCCTTAAACCTGCACTGATGGACTTAATGGGTCTAAGTTTCTTCAAGTGATTTGAACTGTTGTGAGGGAGCCCTAGAGAAAGGTAGTTTTGACATTTGGGGGATAAATCCATATCATAGAGGTCTCTGGGCATGGGGAAAAGTCACAAAGAGTAAAAAGCAAGTGAAACTGAAGCCATTCTAGAGCATGTAATGCATAGTTTCTGTGGACTCTAATGTGTGCAGTTGTTGGTGATACTAGCAATGTATCTTGTCTCTTTTCTTCACCTGTTTTGAAAGGGAAGCCAATTTTCCTTGTGTCTTAGGCCTGGGAGGACTTCCAGGCAAAAGTTTCCTGAGATGGAGGCAAGTGACCAAAGTCTGATTTAGGGAAAAAAGGGAAAAGATCAGGAAAGAAATGAGCTTGTACTCTTTGTAGAGCTTGTGAGAAATTTGGGAGTCCCTCAACCCAGACTGAGTAGCAGACAGGACAAGGGCAACCAGGCAATTTGGTGGAAAGTATAACATGTCTTCCTGGGATGAGAGGGAAGCCTTTTGAAGAAAAAGAGAAAAAGGAGCAAGGTGGCATTGTTTGTAGGTCCCAGCTCATTACTGAACTCTGAGTTAGAGCTGGGGCAGGGTTAGAGTTGGGGGTCCAGGCGACAAGGCAGAGCAAGCCAGAGTTGTTAACATTAGCTCCAAGCTTAGGTCTTTTTAAACATGCTCCAGAGTAAACCTATTACCCTACATTTCCCACCTGGACTGCCAGTATAGCACTGAGCTATAAAATATAATGGGAGGCGTCTTTTATTGGGCAGTTTATAAGCATGGCCCTTGCAGACTCCCAGGTGGGGAGAGTATGCCTAGGGCTTTCATCACCCAGGAACAGGGACAATGGTCCAAGAAGGTTGGTCACAAGATAGTTCAGGTTCATGGGCTACTCTGATGAAGATATAATTTTCTAAGCATGGGAAAATGGTACGCTCTGCCTTTTGGGCAAACAAATTCCCAAGAATAGGTGAGGCCAGTGACAGATTAGACTGTCTTTCTCTTCCTCACCTTAGGGGCTTTCATTGTTTGGTGCATTGTCTCATTAGGCTGACCTTTCAATTGTTGATGCTGGGAGCTAGGTATCTTTTGAACAAACCCGCCAATGTTTTGCCTTTGGCCGAAGGCTTTTGCCTACTGTCCAGAGAAGCTAGATCAGGATGGCTCAGAGCCTGCTATGGAGCTTCAGGTCGCAGGGCCTGTCATATTTCAAATCACTCCTCTCTGCTGCCTCTCCAACCAAACTGGGTCCCAAACTGAGGCCTTGACTCATACTGGAAGGCATGAGGAGGAGAGGTTGGGCTATTTGGAACTCAACCAGGGACTCAACCTTGTTTGAGTTGGAGTAGCTGGTTGAGGCTGGATTCTTGGCTTACTGTTTAGTAGCCTCAAATGTTCATTCAAAGTCTAAATCTGGATCCCAAAGGGCTGGTGATCTCAGTAATACTAGCTAGACAGTGACTATGAGTTAGATGACTTGTATTCTTGACTTGCTGTGTGACTTTGGGTAGGCACTTTACTTCTCTGTACCTCAGTTTATCCATCTGTGAAATGAGAGGGTTAGACTAGATGAATTTTCTAGCTCTGCCATTCTATCTATCTAGAATTCTGTGATACTTTATTTTTTACATTTACCTGGCATAATTTTTGACTCATTCAGACAAATGAATTTGTTAATCTGCCTGAATTAGGGTACAGATAGGTTGGGAGGAGATTGGGAAAGAAATGAAAAGCCATGTAGATATCATTTTTCTACATCATGTGTAAAGACTACCATGCTTTTCATATGTAGTGATGTAGTTGAAAAAAACCCACTCCTATTTTACCCAGTATCCAAAAGCAGCTCTAGACGTACAACTGCTTCTCCCAGAATGTCCTGCTCAGCTTAGAAATGGGCCTCCAAGAGGATTTTTTCAACTTGGTGTGGTACAGGTTAGCAGAGTGGGTCTGTATGCTGCTGTTTCCTAGCATTTGAACTGGTTCTAAAAAGCTTTAAACTGTAAACGTTCCCTTAAGCCTAAACATTTGGACCCTTCTCCTGAAGCTTAATTTCCCACATCTCATTCTCATTTCTCAGAAATTCATGGTTACTATGATCTTGGTTTGCTGTTACTTCAAGATAGAAGAGTAAACCAAGATTCCTACATGGTGAGTGTGGGAAGGCTGCCTCTTGCAATCCTAGAGAAGTCCTCTTGGGTAGCCACAATCACTGTTCAACTTCAGCTTCACTCAAGGCTTAGCTGAGAGTGTGGCTACTGAAATAGCAGGAACAGAGCTCTCTCTCCTTTTCTCTGAATTTATACTTAATTGTCATTGGAAATATTTTCTCCAGTGTCATGAAGAGTAAACAAGCAGAATTTCATTTGCAGAAATATGTAAAGGATGCCATCTCAACGTTTTGAGCAGATCAGTTTCCCAGAAGGGTGTGTTGCTTTTTCCACGAGCATCTTTTTGTTCTGTTGCATATTGAAAAGAAAGAATCATTAGGTCTTTCCAGATTGTGTGGAAAATGGAGTGGGATTTCTTATCTTGAAAAGATCTGTTTCACCTAGGATTGAATGAGTAAACCTTGGAGAAAAGCCATTATTCATAAAACCTTAGAGAAAATGTTTTATTAATATCACACACACACACACACACACACACACACACACACACACAAACTGTACACCTCAAGCCATAGATTATGAATATTTTATCTGAAAAAATCTTTTTCCACCTGTTTATAGGATCAGGTTTAATGTAACAGGGGCTTCTGTAGGGGTAATGGGGGACTAGTGCAAAGGACTCAGACTGGAAAACTTGTTAGGTGAGAGTGATGAAGAGAATATGGCATCCTTGGTTATATCTTGGCCTGTACCCCTTTGTAGCTTCCCAACAGTGGGGCTTGGAAACATTTCTTGAAAGTTTCTTTCTGCTTCCATTCTCTCCTTATCCTGTATCTCTCTTAGGACTCAAAGGAAAGAAGATTTAGGACATTCCAGCCTTCTCCCATTTTAAGGATAAAAGAGGACTAAGCCTAGGGACATATAATCATCTGCCTTGAAGATGGGTGCTGTGGTAACTAACGTGAAATTACCAGCCACCTATTTGTGAGTGGCTAATGTAGCCTGTTTGGGTGACTTGAGGAAGTACATGCCTCTTTACCGTGAGAGTCTTGCCCTCCTCTATGCTATACTTTGCTCCAGTTTCTGAGGTTGGTAGGAGAAGAAGGAATAAAATTGGCTGTCCTGACCACATATTTTCTTGGCTTCTCCATCCACCATGGTACATCATTTGTACCACCTTTGCTAGATATAGCCCCTTTCTTCCTCCAGCATTGTTCTCCCTTTTTCTTTCTTTCCCTTGCTTAATTAGAGGAACAACTGGGCTTTTGGATGTTGTACAGGCCCAACTCCAGCCTGGGTCTCAGGCCCAATTCTACACATCTCACAGAGACATCTCTTCCATTTTCCCCTTTCTCCCCTATCTTGTTTTCCACTTTCTGGGGGAAGGGTGACTTTTTATGGAGCACTCAAAAGTATGGAAGCCATCACCTCTGGATTTTTGCAGTAAGACAGCTGCTATGAAACCCTTTTTGTCATTTCCACACCTCTTCTTTTCAAAGCCCCAGGACCCCAGCCAAAGAGATAGTATCGTAGCAGGTCTTATCCGATAGTATCCAAAAATGTCCTGGTCAGTTGCACTCCTTTTTCTTCAAATCCTCACTATTATTGTCCCCTATCTCTAGGGCCAACTGACCCTCCAGAGAGTTCAGATTGGTATTCAGTATCTTCAGGAGTTCTGGATAGAGCAGAAGTCTTCATTCTATTTTGTTCCATTATCATTTCTCATCTTGCCAAAACATATTACAAAATTGATTGTAAAGGATTGAAGAAGGGAGGAGACAGATACACAAGTTCTAATTAGAGTCAAAAGTGCCTTCAGTGGGGGTGGACAGAGGGAAGTAAATTTCTTCTGACCCAGGTTAGTTGCTTCTCTGCTTCTCTGTAGCTGATGGGAGAAGAGAAAGGGAACTGTCACTAAACAAGTAGTCTCCACACAGTCTCTTTCCCCAGTCTGAAAGGGTATGTGCATGCACCCATGTGCCCTGACATGTGTGTATGTGTGTATAGCTGGGTGTGTGATGTCTGTCTGGGCTAGTGAGCACAGTTGCCTAGAACATGATATCTATGAGACTGAGTTCACAGGTTCAGTCACTTGTTCAGGTCACTGAGCTTCTCACAAAGAAAAATCTCTTCTGTTTCTCATGCGTGCCCCTCATGTGGGGTTGCCACTAATCCTAAGTAGACTGAGTAAAAGTATGGAGATGACTTCCTATAAACTCTCCTTGCTACTGGGGAAAAAACACAAAGCACATAGTTTAGTGATAACTGCTGTGCTGCATTCCACAGTATGATTTTTAACATTTACTCTTGTTAAATATAATAATAATAATAATAATAATAATAGCTAACATTTATTTAGCATTTAGCAAATAACTCTGTGCCAGGCATTATATTAAACACTATACGTGTACCAACTCATTTTAATACTGAACAACCCTAAGAGGTAGATAACATTATTTTCTCTATTTCCCAGATACAGAGATAGAGACACAGAAATTAATTAACTTGCTTAAGCTCCTATAGCAAATAATGTCTGATCCAGTATTTGAATCCAGAGAATGAACCCAGAACTCCTGCTTTTGGATATTACTTATTACATAGTAAAGATGTGTGGGGGAGGCAGCTACCAAGGGGGACTGCTGCAGAGTTTTTCATTCATAGAGCCTCATAGCATACTGATGACAAAAAGATAAAAAAAGATTACAAAAATATTTGGTGAACAAAAGTCCAATAGTCTTGTGATACACGATAACCTGCTCTAACCATTCATCTTAGTCTACCCAGAGTCATGATCCTTGGGTCCAAAAATGGCCAGAGAAACTGTCTCTTAGTTGTTTAGCTCTGAACAAGTCACATTAGTTTCCAGGGCTTCAGTGTTCTCATCTGTACAATGAGATTAACAGTATTTACTTTGATAAGACTATGAAGGTCAAATGAGATTGGGTAGGTGAAAGACCTTTGTAAATTGTAAAGGAGGTAGATGTTGTTATTATTACTATCCAGTAACCTTATCCAGCCCTTAGAAATTGAGCAGCTATACCTTTCTCTAAATATTTCTAGAAGATGAATTAACCCCTCCCTCTACCTTCCACCTCTCCACTCCATTTTTTCCCTATCTCCCCTTTGTATTCTTCTGCAATTTGACCCCTGTGTGCTGTAGCTAAGAACTGGCTGTGTTCTTTTTTGTTGTTGTTTTTCCTCAGTTTTGTAAGAGCCCAGGGAGAGGAGGGGCCAAATCCCAGGACATATACATTCAAGGAAATAAGACATGTTGAAATATTTATAGCTCTTGGCAGGAGCTCACAAACCTCCCTGAGAGTCAAGCCCTGAGTTTTTTAGTAAGAATTGCTAGGAATTGGAGGGGGCTGCTGGGTGGAGTTAGGCTGTCACTTCCTCCTGAGGGTCTCTCACAGAGCCTCTGTTATTCTGCAGGTAGTGAGGAAGAAGAAAAGGGATATTTAGGGTCAGAAGGTCCGGGCCAGGGGACTTTAAACACAGAAAGGGCCTTGCTTGTTTGTGTTCAGTTTTGGAGTGGACCAATTTCCTTGTGTTCTAAACAGGATAGCCCTGAAGAACATAGACCACAGAAAGCAACAGGCATTTTGAGCAAACATTTTAGTGACCATTTAGGGAGCCTTCATTAAAAGCATCTAATAGGCAAATCAGAATGTGAGTCTTTCTCTTCTTTGTTATAAACAGCAAAACAAAATCCCCAAGACCTTCTTTGAGACTAAGATTTCAAATATACTAGGACCTACTATTTTGATTTTCAGTTTTTTTAATGTCTGAGCTGGAAGATATTTTAGAGACTACCTGATCTTATCCCTTCTGGTTCCCATGGTAAGAAACCTTCTTGGTTTATAGGTAAGAAGTGAAATCATCATTATGGGAAGATGATTGTAGTGGAGCTTGGTTTGTAAGAGGGGTTGGGAAGTGGGTACAAGGGTTGAGACTTCTGGCATCCTGGGAGTTCGCCAGTTCAATCACTGGCATATTGACTATTTTATCTTTCCCAGAACTTTTCCAAAGTCAATTCCCAGCCAACACTTTGTGAAAAGAGATTGTATTATATTTTAATAAATATAATTTCATTTATTTAATAATAGTCAAAATTCAACAGGTACAGCCCTGGATGGTGTAGTTCAGTGGATTGAGTACAGGCCTGCAAACCAAAGGGTCACTGGTTTGATTCCCAGTCAGGGCACATGCCTGGGTTGTGGGCCAGGTCCTCAGCGTGGGGCATGCAAGAGGCAACCACACGTTGATGTTTCTCTCCCTTTCTTTCTCCTTCCCTTCCCCTCTGTCTAAAAATAAATAAATAAAACCTTTTAAAATAAAAAAAATTCAAGAGGTACAATGGTGAAGTCTCTCTCCCACCTCTGTCTCCCAGTTACCCTGTTCCCCTTGAGAGAGGCCACTAGTGTTACCTGGTGTGTCCTTTTAGAAATATTCTATGTACGTACAAACAAGTGTGTATGTGTGTTTATACGCCCTATTTTTAAAACACAAATGGTAACCTATAATTTACATTATCCTCCATTTTGCCTTTTATACTTCAAAACACATTAAGTTTATAAAGTTTCACTCTGTTTTTATAACTGCACAGTATTTCATAATATGGGTATATCATAATTTATTTAATCAACACTTTGCTAATAAGAATTCAAGCTGTTACTAATCTTTGAATATAGGCTTTGGAATCAAACAGCACTAGATTCAATTATTTGCTGTATGTCTGTCCAAAATTTTTAGCTTTTTGAAGTCTGAGTTTTCTCATGTATAAAAGAAAGATAATAATATTGTCATCATTGGTGTGGATGAGGCATATAAAAAATTATGTGCTAGGCTGGACTTTGGGTGAGCCAGAGAAGTAAAAGTATCTCTCAAGAAGTTTATAATTATTTTGAGAAGATGTACTATTCCAAACAACCATAGAGCACTGCTAAGTAGTAAAAATATGTGTACATATAAAATTGAATGCAATTTTTGTGTGATGATATGAAAAAGAGAGACAAGTATGAGGGCCAGGGGGATTAAGAAAGAGTTATAACTTGAAATTGAATTTAGCTAAGTAGAGAGGGAGCCTATGAATCAGGCAGTGGCTGGTTGAGGGTTGAGAACTAGACAGTTTGGTTGTTGCTCAGAGTCTGGGTCTTTGCCCTCTCTGGGAGTCCAGTGAGTCACTGTTCCCCATTAGGCTCTGAGCCAGCAGGTGGGATGGAGTGGAGGGGCAGGAGGAGAGGAAAATGCTTAGGATATTTGAGAGAAGGTCATGGGGTGGGGGGATGTTTGGGCATTGAGCTACAGAATGAGGTGTCTGCAAATGGCTTGTGCTATAGCCTGCCCAGCCCACATCACCTTCTCTTCCATGTCAGCAGCCCAGGCACTTTTTCTAAGGGGTTTGAGAGGAGGAGTAAAGGTCCTGGGAATAGAAGGGGCAGCAGCTCTTAGCCCCTCACCCTGAGTTCTGAACTAGCCACCAGATGCTGTGAGCCCCAGGAGAGGAATAGATTATTGAGTGATAATGATCTCTTCTATGTGTGGCACATTGTAGTTTACATTTTAGTTGATGTTTAGCCTTGCAACAGAGACAGTTACAAAATAAAATACTCAATTGAATTTCATCATGTGCCAACATCTATTATCACAACAAGTGCTATGTTGAAGGGTTCTAAAAAATGAGCAGGTGGTTTGCATTACTTAGGGAAAAGTTCATGGCAGGTAAGTGTTGTGTAAAGATTCATATTCCCATTTTATAGTTGTAGAAAGTGGAGAGAAGATTGAGGGCAAGTGAGTGACCTAAGATCACACACTCAATATTTAGCAAAGCTGAGACTAGAGTCCAGGTCTCCTAATTCCAAGTAGTTGCTCCCTGAAAGCTGGCATAGAGTTTTCTCTAAATTTGATAGCAACCAGGAGTTTCAGGGTATGGATAAGAAATGCTATGGTATGATGAAAAACAAATTAATAGGAAATTGGGAGTCAAAAAGTTAAGAGGGACCGAAATGAGGGTCATGGAAGAAAGGATCTAGGCATAGCTAAGGCCTGCTAGCCCTGGATCAAGAAAGAGTACTGGACTGGGAGTCAGGAGACCTGCATTCTGCTCCTGGCTCTGCTAATGTCCTTATAAGTCCCTTCCCCTTTCTGGGCCTCAATTTCTCCACTTATGCAATGAGAAAACTGGACCTCCCAGAGGCTTAGTGATGCTTCAAGTTAATGGTTTCTATGAACCAAAGAGGCCTCCTTCAGAGGAGGCAAACCCAGCATTTACCTACTCTGCCATCTTGACCAGAAGTCCGGAGAGTATCTGTTTTCATTGTCCTCAGAGAATTGTAGACCATTGTTTTACAATTAGTTATAATCTTCAGGGTTACCTGAAGACTAAATGAACAGAAGTCCTATAACTAAGCATATAAAGTAGAAGCCATGTTGAGACTGCTAGGAGGGACAGGATGGGAAATGAACTGACCCCATACCTATAAGTGGTAGTTAAAAATTGGGAGGGATATCTCAGCTGTGGAGACCCCCTTAGGAGTAAAGGGTCTCAGCCACATACCAGGCTTCCAAGCCCAGAGCACAAGTGACAGGAAGAGGAGTCCCCTGAACATCAGGTTGTAAAAATCAGTGTGGATTGGATCTGGATGAGGAGAGCTGCTGTAGACCCATTTGTGCTCTTAAAGAGCCCAAGCAGAGACTCTCACTCACAAACACTCACCCTAGGCTCCAGTGAAGGAAAACAGCTCAAAAAGCTCCAAGGACATTCAGGGAGGAACTGAATTGCCAGGGTGAGGGCTGCAGGGGCACCTCTCCCTGAACAGAAGTGCTAGCAAGTACCATTGTTTCTTTGTTACCCAACCCCCCACAAAGCTTGAAGCTGCAGGTGGG